AAAAAAAGTTGAGTGTTGAGGACTTCCGGCGAGGCAGCATGGCGGCAGCAGCAGAAGAAAAGAGCTCCTGAAGCCAGCCAGAGTAAAAGGCTCTGGTGACCGATTCCCGGACCCCCCAGAACTGCTGCTGCCAGCACTGCCAACGGAGAGGAATTGGGGGTGCCCGGGGCATCTATCAAAGGAGCCAAAACACCCCCCCATGACCTTGATTGAGCCGGAAAGGCACCCGACCCCCCCCCCCCAACAGCCGGAGAGGAGCTCCAAACCCAGGAGGACAGTGGAGCTAACGCAAAGAGGGAGAAAGAAAGGGAGAGAGAGGAAGGAAAAGAAAGAAAGAAAAAGGAGCCCCAAATTTACCGTTGCTGCCCCCATCTCTGCCGACGGGGAAAGCAGAGGAGAGGTAGCGTGAGCACACGGTGAAGGCAAAATAGGCTTCGGGGAAGGAAGGGGAAAAAAACACACGTGGCTGAGCCCTACCGGGAGCTCCAGCGGCAAGGAAAACACAGAGAAGCTGCATAACAAAGGAGAACCACAGAAAGAAAAAAACAACCCTTCCCCCCCCTTTTTTTTAACTCCCCCTTTTTAAAAACCCCTGTCCTCCCCCTCCCTCCCTCCCTTTTAAAGAAAAATATATATAATACATCTTTCTTCATCCCTCCCCCCCCATGATACCTACTTTTACCACTTTTCTTTTTAAAAGAGGGGCCACTGCTGCTGCAGCCCACCCTTTATTTGAATCTTTACTTTATTTTCTATCTTTCCTACTCACTATTTTAAAGACACACTTTTCCACACCCACAACCTCAATTTAAACACCTCATTTATTTCCACCTCAAAACTCCCCCTTTCTTAAGATTTAAAATGGCAGTACCCAGAAAACAGCCTGAACCATCACAGGCCATTTCCTGGGACTGCCACTTCGCCCCAGACTTTCCACTCTCTTTACCTACCCTCTTTACCTATACTTTACTCATTTTTTTTAAAAAAATAAAAGCTCTATCTAAAGACAACCCCTCCTTTTTTTTACCTTTTAATTCTCATTTTTATCTTTTACC